GCACTCCAGTCTGGGTGACAGAGTGAGACTCCATCTCAAAATACTACTACTACTACTACTACTACTACTAATAATAATAATAATAATAATAATAATTTATAGAGTAGACAAAATATTTCTGGCCACAGTGGTAAGGACTTATGACAGTGATCTCAGCAGCAACAATGCAGGGACTTGGATCTGGGGACCCACAGGGCCCCATCCACCTGCAGACTCTATTTCTGCCATTCTCCCTCATTGATCTGGGGTAGGCAGCCACCCTCTGCCATGGCACAGGGAAGGAGATGGCTGGTGGGAATAAACAATTAGCACTTCTGATTTACAGTATGAGGTCACCAGCCCACATCTAAATGCAGCCTCTGTTTAAATGATGAACAACAACACGCACGCTCAGTCAGGAAACCTAAAGTTTGTGACACAGACCTTCACTCCCACTTCCCCAGGGACAAACCTTCACAACCATTTGGTATACTAACTGGGGTTACACACAAGATGTGGGGGAAGAGGAAGGCAAGAATACTGTATATCCGTGACCAAAAGGACAGGAAGAATTAAAAAGCATTGTTATTGAAAGTAATGCCCATCTCACTAAACTCTGAGGCCAGATACTACCTTGAAACACATGGCCATCAATTACTCAGCAAACCCAGTCTACCCAGCAAGCCAGAATTATGCCAGAATTACACCCGGTAAGCCTCTACTACATGCAGCAAGCCTGCGGTACATCCTGCAAGCCTGTTCACATCCAGCAAGCCTATCTCACACCTGCCAGGCCCACATTACACCCAGCAAGGGTCTGAGTCTGACACAGACAGACAAGAATTCAAGTCCAAGTTCTTGAACAGCTTAACACCTGAACAACACTGAGCCAGTATCACAGGTCCTAAGCTTTGGTCTCCTTGTTTGTGAAATGTGTATACTCTATGCCTACAGGCTTCCTGTGAGGAGAAGAAATAACATAAGTAAAGCAAATTCCACATGCCTGAATATTGGAGGGGCTCAGCCCATGGTAGGTGCAGCTATCACATCACCATCATCATTATTATTCCAGCAGTGACGATCGTCATCATCGTAATTACTATTGCTATTATTGCCATTACAAAATTACTATTGTCCATTATACTTAAAGCTCTCTTGAGAAGTCAAGTTCAAAGGCTTCCACACCACTGAAATTCAACATTCCCAAGCCTTTGTCATCTGGAAGCCTTACCTCCGGTCTAACCTAAATCCTTTCTTTCTACTGTATAAGCCCATGATATTTCTAGCTTTGATTTCATCAGTAATAGAAGAAAGCCGTTTACCCTGATCTATAAACAATCTCTGCCAGTAATCATGACCATTTATATTTACATAATGCTTTATAGCTTATGAAGTTCAAACCCAGGTCCACAGAAGTCTGACTGTTGAAAATCACCCCACCGTTCTTGATCTTTAAAGATGGTCACAAGAGGACTTTCCCAAAGGTTAAACCAAACAAATCGCTAGGAGGAAAACCAGTGCAAACTGATCTCGCTGTGTTCACAGCAAATTGATTGTTACTTTTCATGATAAAACACAACATAGCAGTTTGTTATGGACTGAATGTTTGTGTCTCCCCCGGATTCATATGTTTAGACGCTAACTTCCAACGTGAATGGGATTAGAGCCCATATCAAAGAGATCCCAGAGAGCTCTCTTGCCCTCTTGCTGCCGTGAGAAGTCTGCAGTGTACCACCCAGAAGAGGGCCGTTGCCAAAGCCCCAGCATGCTGGCACCTGAGCCTGGACTTCCAGCCTCCGGAATTGTGAGAGAGAAATTTCCATTATCTGCAAGCCACTGAGTCCAGGGTACTTTGTTAAAGCTGCCCGAACTGACTACGGCAAAGTCCTTGTTGGGTTTCTACTTTTCCTTTCTCTTCCCTGTGGACATGTCTTCAGGCAGCAGGGAGGTCTCTGAGAAGCCTGCAGATAGGCAAGAGGAAGGGGTAGGAACATGCTGGTTGCCGCCATAGAGCCCGCAGCAGGGCAGCTGTTCAGTGAGTTGACCTTTGGGGTCGGCTAGCACCCAGAGTAATTCACGGGGCAGAGAAGAGCATGGGGGTTGGAGGGCACTGGCCCAGACAGGTGTAGGAACCAGCTTCACATCCGGGAATGCCCACATCCATCAGTCCTCAGGGTGGCATTCATTTAGGACTGCACTGGGGATGCCAGGTACTCTTCACATTCATTCATCAATACATGCTCGCTGGGCCCTACTAGGCGCAAAGCACATGGGGAGCATCACTACACAAAAGAGATCAAATGTCGACCTTTGGAGGATATTTTATAACAGGGGAGGGCAAGCAAACAGACAGAATGCAGAAACAAATGAAAGACGTGGTGAGTGCCGTGCAACACACAACACAGGTGCTGTGGACAGGAAGCAGGATGGAGGAGGTGAAGGCGAGGAGTGTGGGCTGTATTTGCAATGGGAATGTCAGGGTCACCTTGGTGGAGGAAGAGCAGTTGAACAGAGACTTGAAGGAGGCGAGGGGAGAGCCATGCAGTTACCCAAGGAGCCAGGATCCTGGTAAAGGGCATGGCCAGTGCCGAGGAAGAGCCAGCCTATGTCTGAAGGGAGAGGAGGCTGATGTGGCTGGAGTTTCTTGAGCAAGGGGAGGGTGACCAGAGCTGAGGTCAGGGAGACAGTTGGACCATGCAGGGTTTCCTAGGCCAGTCTCGGGCCCTGGTTTGTGTTTGAGGAGCCCTCGGTGGGCTCCAGTGAGGGGTTGCTCTGGCTGCTGGGTTGATAATGAACTGTGGCATGGCCAGGGTGGAAGCAGGGAGGCAGTGAAGGGGCTGCTGTGATAATCACAAGGGAGATGTTGGGGGAAGAAGTGGAGTGGGCTCATCTATTCTGGAACTATCTGGAAGGGAGCCAACAGGCTTTGTTGGTGAACTGGATGTGGATACAAGAGAAAGAAGAGGCTCAGTAAAGACGACTAGATTTTAGGTCTGAGCAACTGGGGAAAAAAAGGTTGTTGTCTTTGACTGAGAGCAGGAAGGATGTAGGCAGAGCAGCCCCTCTTTGGCTGTGCCCACATGGAGAAGGCAGGTAGGCAGGTAGGTGCATGAGACTGACATTCAGGAGTTGCTCTGGGACATGAACTCAGGAGATGCTGGTTTATTAACGGCAGGTACAACCGGAAGCCGGAAGAACCTGCAACTGAGCTGATGACCCAAAGTTGTTCTCAGGTGACAGGAGGATAGGCCAGGTAAGAAGCTGCTCTTGGACTCAGGTCATGGGTGTTAGTCCCTGCCTTCCCACCATCTACTGACACTTCTCTAAGATGGTCACTTTCCACTCTGAAAAACCAGGGGCAGACTAGGGATTCTTAGTTTCCCGTGAATTTGTGAACTGAGTTTAAGAATCAAGAATGCAGAGCATTGTGAGAGTTCAAGATCATTATGCATTATGGGCAAGGACCCGTGCCACATAGCTCAGGGTGAAATACAGTCGAGGACAAAGGGCCCCACATAGGCAGGGATGGAGGGAGTCAGACTGGCCCTCATTCAGTTTTCAGGCCCTGAAATTCAGCTCCACGGCTACCACTCACTCCATCAAAACTGCTCTCACCAAAATCATCAATGACTGGTTACCGGCCACCTGGTCCCCAAGCCAGAAATCTGGGAATGTCTTTAAACATTTCCTCTCCCTTATTCCCTTTTTTTTTTTTTTTTTTTTTTTTTTTTTGAGATTGAGTAGTCCTGCTCTGTCACCTATGGCATGATCTCAGCTCAACGCAACTTCCACCTCCTGGGTTCCAGCAATTCTTCTGCCTCAGCCTCCCGAGTAGCTGGGATTACAGGCACGCACCACCATATCCGGCTAATTTTTGTATTTTTAGTAGAGATTGGGTTTTGCCAAGTTGACCAGACTGGTCTTAAACTACTGACCTCAAGTGATCCACCTGCCTCGGCCTCCCAAAATTCTGGGATTACAGGCGTGAGCCACCGCACCTGGCCTATTCCCTTATGTCTTATGCCATATCCCTCATTTCCTATCCTCAACCCCTTATTCCTGAGTCTTTCTTGAATCTATTCTCCTGGCTCTTCCCATATGCTCAGACAACAAAAGATCCTCCACGTCTTGTCTTGTTCTGGCTAAGGAGGGGAGAGGGTCGAGACTATTTCAATAGCTACCTATGCCATTTCTGTGCCTGTAGCCCTGCTCCCTCCTCCAGTCCATGCTCCTCCGTGATGCTGCATTTTGGAGGCTTAGAAATAAGATCCATAAAGAGCCCATTCCTATGCCCGGCAGTGGGGCAGGCACCGGATAAAGGGGCCACTAATGTAATTATTCTCTTCTTAGAAATATATTTCATTGCCTTCTTCTAAATTTGTTCACATGGACACTGCTACATATTAACTGAAATGCTTTCCTTAAAAATAGCTGAGGATGATTAGCTAGAGGGATCGTAATAGGAATTTTAAGCAATCATTTAAATTAATTCCTGAGAAGTCTATGCAGAACCCTTCAAGCTGAGCCCTTTCTGGCAGAAACTCACCAGTTCCCATAAGCACATGCAAATCAGCACTCTGAGTTTCCCATATTTCACTGCCAGATTGTTTTTTTTTTTTTTTTTTTTTCATTCTAGAAGAACAAACCACAGCTCTGTGATTGGGAACTCTCCACTGGCAGGCGGGGGCCAGAGTGGCTTTGTACTCCCACCCGCAGGCTGCCCCATGATGCCCAGTGCCAGGCATGGAGCAGAGAGCCAAACCACGTCAATAAATGCTTCCGATATGTACAAGTGTAAATATCAAAGGCTGGCCACATCCATATTGAAAGTATTCTCTAAGAAATGTGCCAATGACAATTTTTTGGCCAAAAAAAAAAAAAAATCCTTTTAAATTGTTGAAAGATGCCTAGAAATGGATCTGCTGCATCCTGGGATAAGCCATTGTCCTTTCAAGTATGTTAGTATAAGAAAACAACTGAACTTTTGCAGGAAGGAAACGAAGAGAAATCCATTCTCCTACCTTCTTAAAGTCATGCACGTTAATTTTTCCATTAGGCTCCTTGCTGAAGTCAAGAAATCGTTTTTTGAATTCTGGGTTCTGCTGCTGTATACAGTTTTTGAATTTTTCAATCACTTCTTCTGTGGTCATCTTCTTGATCTGGGTGGTTTTATTCTCCGTGGGCTTGGTTCTAAAATCACAAGCAGGCATTTAGACCTGGTGTCCCAACGGACACAGGCAGGGTGCTTCCTCCAGACTTCACCCATTTCCATGTAACCCGTGACAGTAAGAAGGTTTCCCATTCTCAGTTCACTAGCTGGGAAGGGTGGAGTGACTCAGGGGCTTCTTACCCTCCCCTGGCTGGTAGGTTCCAGGGCCAGAACTGGAGGTCCCCAGCACAGTGTCCAAGTGAAAGCCCATATACAGTGGCAGGCTGGGGGCAAGGGGACTTGAAGGGAGACAATATTATTGTCCTAGAGATTTTCAATTATGCTTTGAGCTGGCCAAAGGTGGCATGTGACTGGGCACACACGGTTGAAAAAGGATATTGTTTCTGAAGTGGAAAAATTTAAAGTCAGAGCCCATTAGAAAGCTTTAAATGAAAGAAATAGGCCGTTTTGTGGTAACTAGATCAAGAAAGTCATCAAACATCCATGGAAATGAAGTCCACAGTTACTCCATAAGTCAATTTGATTTATAAAATACAAATTGAATGTGCTGTTCTGTGAGTGTCAGAGTGGATGTGTCTGAGCGTGTGGGCGTGGGTGTTTGTAGGACAGTGATTTCCTCAGCTCTCTGGAAGTCTCTTGGGTCCCACATTTTTGGGGAAAAAAAAAGCTCTGAGACAGTCATGGAGAATGGACTTCTATTCCTTTCCTGCTGCGTCTCTTGATTTTTAAGAGCTCTCCGGGAAAGCTACATTTTATGAAATGTTTCATTGCCATTGCTTCTTTCACCAGTTTTAGGAAGCAGACATATCTTATCATGGAATATTTAACCTGTCTCTTAAAATACCATCTTTATGCCCATTTATAAAGCTGCTACTACTGAAAAGCCCAGGTATTCAAATGTAATTAGCATATCATTAAAATACTCCCATTGCTCTTTACTTCAGAACTTTTTAAAAGGGCTATGACAAAGTGAAGTCTGCTGAATAGTTCTACATTTTACCTTTCATTATGAATTTGTTATACGCTATGAATGAGCAAGTTAAAATAATGTCTTTTCATTAAACTAAACCTATATTTTTAAAAAGAAGAAGAGTTAGAATATTCATCAGGCTAATTTTTTATAGATTTACTAAGTATGTTTTATTGTTACAATTCAATTTGGAAATCATTTTAATCATTCTATCATTCATATTAAAAAATGTTAACTGGTTTAATGGATGTGTGTTGTAATAAATATTAAATGGTGGTAAGGAATCTAAGCTTCTGGAAGAGAGTAAATGTGAATGCAGGTATGTAATAGAGAAGCTACAGACTGTCTCTGGGAGTCAGGAGTCCCGGATTCTTGATCCAGGCCAGTCACTAAGTTTGTGAGCCAAGTCCCCAAACCTCTCAGACATCAGTGTTTTCATTTCTAAATTTAAAAGGTAAATTCAATAATTCCTAAGATCTCTGCTTGCTCTAAAATTCCCTGACTCGAATCACTGTCTTTCTAGTGTGCCATCTTTCTTATTTATAAGATGAAATATTAAAATACTCAGTCAACAAATAGTTACTAAATACCTATTCCATGACAGACACTGTGGTTTTGATATGTGCATTCATTTTGCTTAATTTTACCTCTCAGAAAGATCTGGCTGCTGCTGTTCATCTTTCCGTAAATGTCCACTTAACAGCTGATCCTTGGGAACATGAACTGGAGAGACAGTGGGTGGGCCATCCATTCCCATGTGCGCCAAAAGTTTCTTGTAAAGGATTCTTCCTGAACCAATGTCCTGGATCTTACTGCAGAGTCTGAATTTTAAAAAATCATTAAAACACACTCAGTAGAGTAACTAAAATGGAAAAGAATGACCCTGCCAAGTGTTGGTGAAGATGCAAGTAGCTACAACTTTCATCCACTGCTGGTGGGAATGTAAAACGGTACAACCACTCTATTCTTAGGCATTTACCAAAGAGAAATGAAAATGTGTGTCTACACAAATATATACAGCTTTATTTGTAACAACCAAACAGTACATATACAGCTTTATTGGTAACAGTCAGAAACTAGAAACAAACCATATACCTATCAAGAGATGAATGTATACACAAACTATGGTAAACCCATTCAATGGAATACTACTCAGCAGTGAAAAGGAAAGAACTGTTGGTATATATGAAATGAATGAATCACAAAATTGCTATGCTTAGTGAATAAAGCCAGACACAAAAGAGAATATCTTGTGTGCTTCCATTTACATAAAGTCCTAGAAAACACGAAGTAGTCTATCATGAAAGACAGCAGATCAGTGTTTTCATGGAGGTGGGAGGAGGGAGTGATGAGGAATTGCTAAAGGGCATATAGAAGATTTTTGGGGTGAAAATATTTGATATGGTGATTGACATCTTGCGATGATTTTATGGATATTGACACATGATGAATTTCATCACATTGTATCATTTAAATGTGTGCAGCATATTGTATATAAAGGATACTGCAATGCCGATGTAGTAAATGTAAAAAAAGAATTATAAAAAATTATATGACTGAAGGCAGGGGCTCACAAAGTGTGGTCTGAGGACACTTCCAGAGCATCAGTGAGGCTAGAACTATTTTTCTGTTAACACTGAGGTGTGATTTGCCTTTTTCACTCAATTCTTCTATGCATATAGAGTCAAGTCCATCAGAGGCAACATGTGTGATCATGTCCTCACTCTGACCACAAATAAAATGTATTCTTGTGGAGGCTGTGTTTTCTAACATTTTTAAGGTTGTAGGCTTAGGGTGTAAATGAGGAACTAGGAGTAGGTTTTCAGTGATTAACTCAGTTTCTTTATAGCCTTTCTACCAGGCTCTCTACTAGAGACCTTCAGTTACACTTGCTATAACTGCTGTAACCTCATTATTGTCCAACAAACCACTATTTCGAAATTCCAAAGTTTTCCCTGAGCCTATATGAAAGCACAGCAAGGAAGTACACTTCTTTCTGCAATGACACTTTAAAAATGTCTCAGTTTTAATTTCTGATACGGTATATAAGGACATACTCCATATGAGAAACAGCCTTTGAGGTCCTTGATAATTCTTCAGAGTATAAAAGTGTCCCGAGACCAAAAGTGCTGAGAACCACTGACCTGGGGCACATTCCCTACCCTTGCTGTGCCTCAGTTTCCTTATCTGTGAAATGCAGATAATAAAAGTACCAAGGACTGCTGCAATGACCAATGGGACAATCCACATAAAGCCGTTAGCGCTGGCGCTGATATGCTCTATGTATACGTGCTTAAAAAATCGCAGCTGTAATAACAGTACTATGGTATCCTTATGATGATCTACATACAGCTGGAGGCTGAGCATGAGCTCTGAAGCCACACTTTGCTCAATAAGTGCTCACTAGTATCATAATCGCTCCCATAAATATTCATGTGGCTATGTAAGAAGCACTGTGCTAACTACTGTTGCCACAACTGTGAACAAACCAGAACAACGCCTACCTTACTGAACTTCGGTCAGCTGGGAGAGACTGTTCATTTGGAACAGAGGGAAAGACGGTCTAAAAGTCCAGAGGCAAGACTTTGGGCCAAAACTCCAGGGCCCAGAGTTTTCAAGGAGTGGAAAGCAGGTCAGCATAGCTGGAGCTGAGACCAACATCAGCGGCAGCAGCAAACACTGGCTGAGGCCTCACTATATGCTTGGCCCTGAGGTAGTAAGGCTTTGTGTGTAAGATCTCATTTGATCCTTATCACAACTCTAGTAAGAAATATCTGGATGAAGAAACAGAGACTTGAAGAGGTTAAGTCACTCGCCCAGGTTTGGAACTAATTCAACCTAGGCAACCTGGCTGCACAGCCTCAGCCCCTGAGAGGTGAGAGGCTCATGGAGGGCCTGGGAACCATGTAGATGGTAATGGGACTGCAAAATGGTTTTTTGTTTGTTTGGTTGGTTGACTTTTTTTTTTTTTTTTTTTTTTTTTTTGAGACGGAGTTTTGCTCCAGCTGCCCAGGCTGGAGTGCAATGGAGCAATCTCGGCTCACTGCAACCTCTGCCTCCTGGGTTCAAGCGATTCTCCTGCCTCAGCCTCCCAAGTAGCTGGGATTACAGGCATGTGCCACCACACCCAGCTTAAATTTGTATTTTTGGTAGAGACGGGGTTTCTCCATGAGTTGACTATGTATCATTATATTGCTCGGTTATCAATATTTGATCATTGTGGTTTTAAAAGTACACAAAGCTCTTGCTCTATCAGAAGGCAGCATATTTCACTGTTGCAACTCGCACACACACAATGTCTCCATTCCACAAGAGCTGAGATGAAATCTTTGCATCTTGAACAACACTTTACAAGATATTACTAAAAAATAAAGGAAAGATATTTGCTTGCAAGAAAAGAAGAACAAAGAGAGCTCAGGAATCATAGAGCCCCAGGAGGGAACCCAGGCCTCACAACTCACCAGCTGTGCAAGTTGGAGTGAGTATTTAACTTCTCCAGACCTCAGTTTCTTTCTCCGTAGAAAGGAATAATGTTAGCTACCTTACGTGGCTGTGATAAGGACTATATCATATAATGCATATCAAACTCTTAAGTGATGTCCAGTGCTTAGCAAGGATTCAGTAAATAGCAGTTATTATCAATATTACCTATTAATATTTCAAAAACACACAGAAAAGGTTTAGAATTATGGAACAGGCCTTATGAAAAACATGACATGAATTAATTTTGTTACCAAAAACTTACTTTATGAAATGTGCATTCGTTAAAAATGGGCAGAAGACGTGCAAGATTTTCTTGAAATTATTTCGGCCAATGAGCCCTGTGTCTCCAAGGTCATATGCCCGTAGCATATTATAAAAAGCATGTAGGTTCCTAGTAATTGTATCATGAACAATTTCTTCCACCTAACATTAAAGAACAAACACATTTCCTAAGCTGTACATCTGTAACCTTTTGTAACAGTAACCTCAAACCACATAGGAAGGCATCTGCACAAAGAAGGCACGTGTTACTTACTGAATCCCAGGCCAGAAGGAAAGGTGTCTTAGTATCTGTACAGGGAGATGCTTTTCTCATCTAATTGGGAAAGAGAAGATATATAAATAAATACCACTCATGAAAGTCATTAGGAGCACTGGAGGCAGATGGACCTGGACTTGAATCCTAGCTCTGTCCCTAATTAGCCATTAGTGTTGAGACCTTGAACAATGGAGCTTGCACTCTAATACCCATCTGAAAGTAAAGACTATAACACTTAACTTGAAATACTATGCAGCCATAAAAAAGAATGAGATCAAGTCTTTTGCAGGGACATAGATGGAGTGGAGGCCATTATCCTTAGCAAGCTAACACAGCAAGAGAAAACCAAATACCACATGTTCTCACTTATAAGTGGGAGCTAAATGATGAGAACACATGGACACATAGAGGAGAACAATGCATGCTGGGGCCTATTGGAGAATAAGAGAATTTTCACCCTCAGGAGAATGAGGATGGAGGTTGGGAGGAGAGAGAGGATCAGGAAAAATATAATAACTAATGAATACTAGGCTTAAAACCTGGGTGATGAAATAATCTGTACAATAAACCCCCATGACACAAGTTTACCTGTGTAACAAACCCGCACTTGTACCCCTGAACTTAAAATAAAAGTTAAAAAAATAGCATTTAATTTCCCTTAAAGAAAAGTACAATAAACACGAAAAAACCCATCACCTAGAAATGAAATAAATGCAAAGTAGAATAACGAGATGGCATTTTTGCCTACCAGAATGGTGAAAACGCAAAAGTAAGCAAACTGCCTGCACAAGTGGGGGTTTCAGAAATGGTGGGAGTGTAAATTGATCTAACTTTCTGGAAGGTATTTTTGTCTCAAGATACGTTTGGATACTATTTGACAATATGATAATTTAGACTCTACGGCGACAACGAAGGCTGCCGCTGGGGAAGAGAACCGGTAGCTAGGGGTTGGCAGAGAAAAGAAAACTTCCTTTCACTGCATCCCCTCTTGTGTTCTTTGCATTCTGTACTTTATACATATCATCCTCTTTAAAAAATATTAAAATATTAATAGAATAAAACATATTCTTTGACCCAATAATTCCATTTCTTAAAATTTATAACTGAAGAAATAATCATAGAGTGATACAAAAAAGCAAGTGCCAAGATGTTCACTGCAGCAAAATTTTAAAAATAAAAAATAAATGAACATCCAAATTATAACAGTTATTTAGTATCTTTTAAAATTAGATAGCAGGCCGGGCACAGTGACTCAAGCCTGTAATCCAGCACTTTGGGAGGCCAAGGTGGGCAGATCACCTGAGGTCAGGAGTTCGAGACTACCCTGGCCAACATGGTGAAACCCCATCTCTACTAAAAACACAAAAATTAGCTGGGCGTGGTGGTGTGCCCCTGTAATCCCAGCTACTCGGGAGGCTGTCGCTGGAGAATCGTTTGAACCCAGGAGGCAGAGGTTGCAGTGAGCCAAGGTCATGTCACTGCACTCCAGCCTGGGCAACAGAGTGAGACTCTGTCTCTAAAATAAATAAAATAAAATTAGAGAGCAGAACTTTTCATTGACATTAAGTGTTAACAGTATGTTAATAAGTAAGCGATACCATAGACTAAAACGTCATTACATGGTGTGTGTGGCGTGAACCCAGGAGGCGGAGCTTGCAGTGGCCAAGATCACACCACTGCACTCCAGCCTGTGACAGAGTGAGATTTGCCTCAAAAAAAACCATTATATTGTCTTGCTTTTTTTTTTTTTTTTTTTTTTGAGACGGAGTCTCGCTCTGTTGCCCAGGCTGGAGTGCAGTGGTCGATCTCAGCTCACTGCAAGCTCCGCCTCGCAGGTTCACGTATTCTCCCGCCTCAGCCTCCCAGCAGCTGGGACTACGGTGCGCCCGCCTCACCTCGCCCGGCTAGTTTTTTGTATTTTTTAGTAGAGACGGGGTTTCACCATGTTAGCCAGGATGGTCTCGATCTCCTGACCTCGTGATCCACCCGTCTCGGCCTCCCAAAGTGCTGGGATTACAGGCTTGAGCCACCGCGCCCGGCCTTGTCTTGCTTTTAAACAAAACAGCTACAATCTAGAGAAATGTGTGTCCAAACTCATCAAATTGCATACATTAAATATGTACAGTTTTTGAATATCAATTACACTTCAATAAAGCTGTTTTTAAAAAACAGAAGTATGGGTGTGCATGTATGTGGATTTGGAAGAATATACAGCAAAGTATAACAGTAAATAACAATGCTTTGGTGTTAGAATTGTGGTGATTTTTATTTTTGCCTATTGCACATCTATGTTTTCTAATTTTTCCAATTCCTTCATTCATAATTCATTCATTCATTCATTCATTCATTCAATAGATTGTGTGAGTGTGCCTGACACTGCCTATCCCCTATAGTACAATGGGCAGTGATAACAGAAAGGTCTCTGCCTTTGTGGAGACAGGAACACATCAGACCACAAATGTGACTCTGAGGCTGGGAGGGTCCCTGTGCAGGCTCTGGGGGTGCTGAGCTCTGGAGATGGTAACATAGGTCACAAGGAGCTGGAAGGAATCCCAGGTAGCAGATGCGGCGCATGCCAAGGCCTGAGAAGGGCAGCCGGGGAGCCTGAGGAACTGGATGAAGAGGTCTTCCCAGAAAGCCATTGGAAAGGTGAAGGCGTGAAGACAGACATGATCTATTTTATACTAAACAAAGATCACACCACTTGCCACGTGGAGAAGGGATTGCTTACGTGTCTACATTTTGTTTTTAAAGAAAACAGATTCTTAACATTTTATGCGCATTATCCTGTTAAATTCCCAACAACCTTACAAGGTGGTACCATAATCAACCTGGTTTTACAGGTAAAGAAATGAGTCTTAGAGAGGTAAATTATTTGCCCCAGGTCACAGCTAATAAGAAGTGGAGGCAGGGAGTCGAACGCAGGTGCACATACTCCTACCCTGGCCGGCTGCCTCTATTCCCTGGCCACCAGGCTTGATCTGACTCTGAAGCACTGGCAGTAAACTGAGTCAAGGCACATGCTCAGGCATCCACACGCCACATGCATGGCATGGGTGCAGGTTCACACACACATCTGTCACTTATGCAGCACAGGTATGGGGTACAGCCAACACCAACGGTCAGCCTATTCCGACCCCCTGTCTAGCAAAACAGATCACAAGGCCTTTTATGCATAAAGGAATTTTATATACATTATACTAAATTATAGCATATAATATAGTAATATAGTTGATATATAATATAGCTAATTTGTAATATACTATATATCATGTAACTATGTATATATAACTGTTATTATATATAATATGTGTACATAACATATTATGCTATAATATAATTATATAGCATAACTATATAATAATATAGTATAATATAATTATAATATAGGATTTATTAAGTAAGCAATAAAGCAGTGTACAAATGTCTATATATATCCAGATACAGTATATTTATATAATTATATTATATATCTGGATATATATTATACATAATTCAATTATTGCTAAAGTATAATATATACAATAATTCCGTTTCTAGAAATATATACTAAAGCAATAATCATAAAGTGATACAAAAAAGCAGGTACCAAGATGTAATTAATTAATATAATAATTGTAAAACTATAATAATATGTAATATATGATGTAATTATAATATATAACTGGATATACAATATGTCTGGATATATGTATCCAGCAACATAAGAATGCCCACACCTTTTGGGCCAGTATTTCCACTTCTCAAATCTATTCTAAGGAAATATTTAGATATGAATGGAGATCTGTGCACGAAGATGTCCAGCGTAACGAAAGGAAGAAGAGAAACAGCCCAGCTGCCCCAGTGACAAGGACGTGCACAGAACACTCTAAGATACCATTGACAATCTTGTTTATGATGAGTTTTTAATGATGTGGGGTGAGGGGGAAAGGCTCATCATATAATGTGAAGCTGAAAAAATGGAATATACAAAGTCATACAAAGAGTTCAACCATGTAAACAAAAAATGTGCCCACCCACACACAAAGAGCAGAAGAAAATTTATCACAATTTTAACTGTGTAACTATCTCTGAGTATTGGGATTTGGGATTTTTATCATTATTTTCACCTTTGTAGTTTGGGATATATTCTAATCTACAAAGAATTTCTGTTACTTGTGTAATCACAAAACATTTAAATAAGTTATGTATTATGGCCTATTAAAATTACCTCCAAAATGTTGGTAGAAAATGTCTACATGTACCAAGAGGAGGTAATTTAAATATGACACTTTCGCTCCAATAAACTGTCCCATTTTAAACCAAGAAGTATGCCATAATATCTTCCCAAGACCTTGATGCAAAACCAAGACAGATGGAAAGGATTTATTGATGATGAATAAATTGCACTTTGCACAGAAACCATCAGAACAGAATGCAGCTGGCTTCAGCTAAACCATCTTAAAGCTTTCCCCAAAGCCAGGCACCCCATTCAGATCCATTCAGTAGAAACGTCACCTTTAGGGAAACAGTGCGTCTCGTGATATTACTGGTTTGAATTTGATTCATAGGGATGCCAACTTCGAAAATCTAAAATTAAAAGCTAATTTGTACCTGTTAAAGGAAGCTTTTTAAAAAACATTTCAACAAGAATCTGTTAAAGCCTATTGCATGCACTATCTGAAATGAATCTGATAAAGTTCTTAAAACTGTTTTAATGCTAATAGCTATTAAAGTTATAGAAGCATTTCTAATAATAAAACTGTCAACTTTTCAGTCAAAAGAAACAAATGCTAAAGGCAAATGCTAGTCACTAAAGGCAATAAGCAGTTATTTTTTTAAAGTTGAACCAATGTAGGGTACAAAACTCTAAAAATATGAATGAGAACCACAGTAGTCACTCACAAATACTCCTTTTAAAGACATGGCTGTGGCCAGGTGCGATGGCTCACGCCTGTAATCCCCGCACTTTGGGAGGCTGAGGCAGGTGGATCACGAGGTCAGGAGATAAAGGCCAGCCTGGCCAACACGGTGAAACCCTGTCTCTACTAAAAATACAAAAATTACCCGGGCGTGGCGGCACGTGCCTGTAGTCCCAGCTACTCAGGAGGCTGAGGCAGGAGAATTGCTTGAACCTGGGAGGCGGAGGCTGCAGTGAGCCGAGATCATGCCACTGCACTCCAGCCTGGGCAACAGAGAAAGATTCCATCTCAAGAAAAAAACAAGAACAACACTAAATAAATAAGACATGGCTGCAAGAGGAGTGCTGTCGAGGTGGTACCAGTTACATCCTGTATATAAAGGGCTCTTGTTCAGGGATGGGTTTTCAGAAATGTCAATTACCATCCTTTTTAAGATTCAGAAACTAAAAGTTAAAATCAAACAATGCTTGAACACTGGACCCTTACTTGAAATGACTGAGTTGAAAACTGGGAAGTCGTTAATTTATTTAAATCATATTTCACCTGCATCTCTTATTAGGAATACTGACATTTCCCGGCAGAAAGAGAAAACCAAACAGGAAATTGTTACAAAACTCACCCTAGAGTTCTTTTCAACCAGATCAATAAACACGCTGATGTTGACCACTCCAGTGTTCCCAGGGTCAAGCGTTTGCATTAGTTCTTTGAATTCCGAATCGCTTAGTTTTACAGCCACGCAATCTAGAATATGTCGAAATTCTTCCCTTGTTATCGGTCCATTGGGTTTCTGAGCATCAGAGTATATATAACAGAATTTTTGAAAAAAGAAAAAAGGAAGAAAAAGTATTATGTATGTTTAGCATCATTTAATAAAGAGCGAGCTTTGGCCATATAGAATTATGATTGGAAACGCAAATACATCGATTGATGATCCTTATATAACATGAGCAGTGTGTGTGTGTGTGTGTGTGTGTGTGTTTGTGTGTGTGTGTGTAGGGGGAATGCTAGAACTTTCCAGGTGCAGTTCCTACAATGTTCTCTATCAGGACATGGCTTTGGGTGAGCAATGAGGCCCATTTCTCACGCTCAGGCTGACTGCCTTCCCCAGAGGCTTCAATGGCTTGAACAGCTCCTATCCCACCTGAGAGCTGGGGGTTCAACCGCATGGGGCACAACACTTCCCAGCAGTTCAATTACAGTTCGCCAATTTAGTAAGAATAAATTGTACTTGTTTCTCCACCAAGTCTCATCCATTACATAAATGGACAATTACTTTGCTAGAAAAATTTCAGCCATGCTGCATAAACAAAACATATTATGAGCAAAATACAGTGAGAAAAAAATTTCTTCCCCCAGAAAATTTATCAATAAGTAGACTGAATTCCAAAATTGAGAGAGATTGTTTACTAGAAAGACAGGGTAAATAAAGAACCCTCACCTCACATGGAGACATAGTGAATATTAACGTGACAAAAGGATTTATTAAGTAAGCAATAAAGCAGTGTGCAAATGTCAACTATTATTTGGGGGTCCAAAATCTGAAAAGGATATAAGGTTCTCTTGAGGGGTAACCTAAGTACTTTAGGGGATATATGCATGCTTACCATTTGGTTTGAGAGTCATAATCAATTCTTTAATACCTAAATAGAAATTACTGACAGCTAATTTTTTAAGTGACTTTAATAAATTTACAGCACTGTGTAACCATCACCACTAAATCTAGAATATTTTCAGCACCCCCAAAATAAACCTCGTGCACATTTGCAGTCACTCCCCATGTCCAGCCCCAACCTAAGGCAATGACTTCATTTTCTGTCTCTAGATATTTGCCTTTTTCTGGATATTTCATGTAAATAGAATCATAAATGCATGGTTTCCTGCATCTGGCTTCTTTCTCCTAACATAGTGTTTTTGAGGATCATCCATGTTGTAGCATGTATCAGTATGTTGCTCCTTTTTATTCCTGACTGAGCATTACATTGCCAGATTTTGTTTATCTTGTCACAAGTTGATAGACATTTGAATTGTTTCTGGTTTGGAAATTGTAAATAATGTTGTTATGAACGTTTGCACACGAGTCTTTGTGTGGACACACTTTCATTCTCTTGGGCAGATACCTAGGAGTGGAATTGCTGGGTTATATAAGTCACATTTAATTTTTACAGAAACTGCCATGCTGTTTTCCACAGTGGCTGTGACATTTCGCATTTTCACAAGCAGTATATGAGAGTTCCAGTATCTCCACACATCCTTGTCAACACTTATTATTGTCTGTCTTTTTCATTATAGCCATCCTAGAGGGTGAGAAGTGGTATCTTGTGGCTTTGAGCTTCCCTAGTAACCATGCTGTCAAGTATCTTTTCATGGGTTCATAAAAGATTTTACTGGTTGTTCATAGATCCTCTTGGGTAAAATGCCTATTATTTTACCCATTTAAAAAATTAGGTTGTCTTCTTATTGAGTTCTAAAAGTACTTGTATATTCTAGATACAAGTCCTTTACCAGATATATGATTTGCATATATCTTCTCCCAGTCTGTGGCTTGTCTTCTCACTTTCTCAGAGGTATCTTTTGAAGCATGAAATTTAATTTTGATAAAGTCCAATGCATCGATTTGTTTCTTTTATGGGTTATACTTTGGTGTCATTAAGGAATGTTTGCCTAACACAAGGTCACAAAGATTTATGTATTTTTTTCTAAGAGTTTTATCAGTTTACCTTTTATATTTAGATCTACTTGTGTATGGTGTAAGGGACTGAATTCATCTTTTTGCTTATGGATATCCAATTGACCTCTTAACATTGTAACAAATGTTTTCCTTTCCCCCACTGAATTTGTCAAAAATAAATGGACCATAAATGTAAGGGTTTATTTATGAACTCTCAACTCTGTTCCATTGATCTATATGTTGGTCTTCAAACCAGTATCACACAGTCTTTACTACTAAAGCTTTGCACTAAGATTCGAACTCTGGAACTATAAGTATTCTAACTCTGTTCTTCTTTTCCAAGACCATTTTGGCTGTTCTTCCACCTTGCATTTCCATACAAATTTTCAGATAGTTTTTCAAAAGCAAAAAAAAAAAAAAAAAAGCCAGCTGGGATGTTGATAGGGTTTGCACTGAATCTACAAAGCAATTTGCAGAAAACTGTCATCTTAATAATATTGTCTCCAATCTATAAATATGGAATGTATTTTTATTTATTTACATATTCTTTACTTTCCTTTAACAATATTTTGTAATTTTCAATATACAAATCTGGCACTTCTTTTGATAAATTTATTCCTAGCTATTGTATTCTTTTTGATGCTATTGTGAATGGAATTGCTTTCAGAAGTTCCTTTTCAGAATGTTCACAGGTAGTTTATAGAAATATAACTGATTTTTATATGTTAATCTTATATTTCTGCAACCTTATAAATTCATTTATTAGTTCTAGCAATATGTGTACGCACACATGCACAAATTCCTTAGAATTTTCCGCACATAAGATCGTATCGTCTGTGAACAAAGACAGTTTTACTTCTTCCTTTTCAATCTTGATGCCTTTTATTTCTTTTTCTTTCCTGATTGGACTGTCCAGAACTCTAGCACAGTGTTGACTAGAAGTAGCAAGAGCTGACATTCTTGTGCTGTTCCTGATCTTAGCAGGAAGGCGTTCAGTCTTTTACCATTAACTATGCTGCTGGCTATGGGTTTGTTGTAAATTCCCTTTACCAGGTGAAGGTATTTCTCTTCTGCTCTAATTTGTGGTAAGTTATTATCACAAACAGGTGTTAGATTTTTCAAATACTGTTTTTGCATCTATTGATACAATCATGTAGTTTTGTTCCTCACTCTATTAATGTTGCATATGATATTGATTGATTTTGGGGGAAGTTAAACCAACTTTGCAATCCTGGGATAAATCCCAAGTGGTCACAGCACTTAAGCCTTTTTATGTATTGATGATTTCGATTTGCTAATATTTTGTTGAGAATTTTTGTAACTATACTCACAAAGGATATTGGTCTGTGGTTCTTTTCTTGTGATGCCTTTGCTTGGTTTTGGTATCAGGGTAATACTGGCCTCAGAGAATGATTCTGGAAGTGTTCCTTCCTCCTGTATTTTCTGAAAGTTTGTGAAGGAATGGCATGATTTTTGTAAGCAATCATTGTAGTCTTCAATGTGGAGAATTTGCACATTTTTGTAAGACATATTTCTAGGTACTTGATTTTTTAAAAAATGTTATTAGAAATAATATTTTTAAAAATCATCTTTTTCTAATTGTTTATTGCAGTTTATTGAAATATTGTTGGTCTTTGTGTATTGACCTTGTATCCACTGACTTTCTAAATTCTATGAAATATTGTTGGTCTTTGTGTATTGACCTTGTATCCACTGACTTTCTAAATTCTATTATTAATTCTAATGTCTGGGAGGATTCTATTGGACTTCCTATTAACAAAATCATGTCAGCTACAAATAATAACTTCAAGACTAGGTAAAAAGGCAGGATGCAAATTACTTCTGGATGATTGATACAAAGTGAGCCACACCTGATTTAAATGTAAGTGATCACAGCAGCTGGGTCCACTTGCAGAGCTGGTGGCAGCATTTGGAGGCAGCACACATAGCAAATGGGATGCATGCCTGGGCGTGGATCTAAAGCAATCTCTCTTCTAAACATTTTGCATCCCTCTCTATAGCAGTAGAGAGATCTGTTTCCCACGACTACCCTGAGCAGCCAGGCAAAATGCCCAGCCCTGCCCACTCCTGGCTCCCACCCTTGTTCTCCTTCTTACCCAGTCCCCTCCGTGGTGGGGTGCATGGTGGCGGGATGGGAGGGGAGGGGAATCTCACTCTGAAACCATGCACTATGTAACTGTCAGGCATCTGATTGTTAATGCCATGATGTGATACCCCAGAGTGTGAACTCATCAGCAAGGACTTAGCATTAATCATCTGTGCGCTTAGCCTAAGTGCCCAGCATAGGGGCCCGGCATGGACTATGTACTCAATTCTTAAGCTACACTGTCTATTGATCTCAAGTTGAATACCACAACAATGACTTTTAAATAGTTCAATAGTTGGAGTGATTAGCATTATTGTATAGTCCTCCGTTAAAGGAAATGAAGGTTTCCCTATTTTTAATTAAATTACTTCTTCAGTATACCATTAGAACCTGAGTGGGGGGGGGCGGGTAACACACAAAGGCCTCGTTTATCTTTTTCCAGGTGGCTCAGCTGGCAGGGTCCAGGGCAGCCATGCCCATTGCTGGAGTGTGGCTGCTCTAGAGCCTGGCGGCCTCCAACACCACTATCTGGGTAGCCTCAAATGGGTTACTTAGCACACAGGCCTCCTTTCCTCATCTGTCAGATGGAGATAATAATCATGTTTGCCTCACTGAGGTGTGAAGTGGATTTAGTGAGTGTATATACTCCTGAATCACTTAAGACTGTGCCTGGCACAAAGTAAGCACTCAACATTATTGCTCATTCAGAGAGACCAAGTCACATAGGCCTAAAGATTCATTCGAAGAACCCCATGTTCCTGAATCCACACTGTGCTTGGAAACCCCATGCAATGGCATATTCCAGTGTGGCGGACACAGGCGCTGGTGTCTCCACAGACGGCAACCCGCAAACCTGGGGGCCACCCCCAGGCAGTGCTGGCTTCTCCCTGGGGCACCACCCTCACGCTCCAAGACGCTCCCTCCACGGCAGGTTCTAGGAGGGTGATGCTGAGCTAGGGACACCTTTGGCCTCTGAAATCATTTGTACACAGTCCTGTGTGAGCCTCAGAAACAGTAATTCACTCTACTCCTCACTGTTTACTAGAGCTTCAATTACCGAATGTGCTTAGTAAATGTTGCGTATCAAAAGGATCCAAATGCTGCTTTCTAAAACGATATTAAAGTGAGACAGGAGCTAATGGTGAACGTGAGAAAAAGCAGGTGGCAAATTCATGAATTAGCCTCTCTTTATAGTACAATTTAAAAAAATTAAGTAGGCTATTTTGGCACTAAGAAAATGCTGTTTTGGGTCATAAGTTGGTTATGAACTGATCAACTCTGGGTTAGGGTGGGGAAGGGTCACCAGGTCTGGATTGTTTATTAAACAGTGAATGATGATGAGTCACTACAACCATTACGATCTTGCCACACATTGTTCCCATCACAATTGGCACTTATCTTACAGTATTGCGATTAATTTTCCATCGGCTGTCCTCCCAACTAGACTCAACTCTTGAGGTTGGGGCTTCTACCCCTAAGTGCTCAGAACAATTCCCAGCATGTAACTGGGGCTCAAGAAGTGTTTGTTGGATGGATAAATGAACCAATATGGAGTTGTTATTGGTCTCGTTCTGAGTGTTTGCATTCTTAGAAACAATTTCACAAGAGAAGGCTTTCAAAATCTTACGGTGTTGATTATCAGTAATGCTTTCTTCAGTGATGTAAAGCGGTCTTCAGTGTGTCTGAATAACTTTGTGATGATGTTTTCCTTGTGAGATTCATTTCTAGAGTTGATGCTATAACATGATTAGGAGAAAAGCAGGAATAAGATTATATTCTTGAACTTTGTTCTTTCTTAATGCAAGAAACGAGCACCCTCACCACAATACAATAGTGCTTTATTTGTGGGTGGCTCTTTATCCTGACAGTGTGCTGCATTTGTGGGGCTCATCTGAACCTAAGTTACTGTGAGCAGAGAGACGCCACGAATTGCAGGGCGAGCCTTGCTGGACCATCTCCTCTCCCCACGAGACCAACTAATCAGCCATCTTGCACACCTGTGGTTTTGGTCTCAAACAAGATCAGTAAAGGGACTGTGGACCAGTGCTGAGCCCTCAGTGGCTGGGAAGCTGGAAGCCCTCTCTCCTGTGTGGGCAACACATTGCAGCTGTCTCATGCACATGATAACTGAGGGCACAAATTCTGTGTTTAGAACTGCAAGGACAGCAGCCTTCTCAGCTTCTCCCTTTCCATTGACAATGACCACGACTCTCTACACTGTCAGAGCCCCCTTTCCCTCTACAGCCTCTTTCATCCGTGAGCTTGGGGCCCATCAGTGTACATGTGTGCTCTGAAGGCCATGACTAGCCCCTCTGGAGACCAAAACCAAGTTCAATGTGGACTTTGCTCAGAAAGGGAGACTGTCAGAATCTCATCACAATATACCATTGGGTGCTTCTCTTTCCTGATGTTCTACTAGACCATCGTACCTTTCCTGCGAAACAATGAATGACAGTCAGTTTACCTGTGAAACCATTCTCAGATTTGTTTGGGAGTTTTTGTTGCTGCATTTATACAGCCATCTGAGCTTCCTCTGTTAGTGCAGAAACAATAAGCCTATGCCTACCACCACTTTTCAGAAACATATGCTGGCTTCCTGAGTCTAAGTTCTTCACATGACTTGTTGGAACCTCGTTTTTCTACAGACCACCAGCACCGGCATGAACAGACGCTTTCTACAGCAGATTTTGTCCACCGGATATCCCTGACATACGGGCTGGAGAGCTCTTTGTTGTGAGGACCCACTGCAGTGTTGAGCAGTATGCCTGGCCTCTACCCACTAGATATCAGTGCAGGTTTGGATCTTAATCCTGAAAGATGCAATCCCAAATGCCATAATCCCAAATGTTGAAATCCCAAAAGATCAAAATCTCTAAATTCTAAAGCCCCTAATGCCTAAAATCGCAAAAATCACAATCCCAAAAGATTACAATCCCAAAAGCCAAATTCTAGGCAAGGGATTTGTGTGTTTTCAGTTGTACACAGCATAGTTGCATCATGTTAGGTGGAACTATGACCTTGCTATTGTTGTTATTTGGAAATTAAGTATGGTTTAAGGAGATGCCTATGGGTACCAAGCTGCAAAGAGTAGATTTGTGAACTTAATTTCAGGTGTCAACTTGACCGGATGAAGGCATACCTAGAAACCTGGTAAAGCACTGTGTTGGGTGTGCTTGCAAGGGTGTTTCTGGAGATTAGTGTGAGGGTCTCAGTGGGCAGGGAGGGTGCGGGGGGAAGATGTGCCCTCAGTGTTGGCGAGCACCATCCAATCAGCTGGGAGCCCAGAGAGAACACAGCTCTCTCTCTCTCTCAGAAATGGGACATTCTCTGCCGCTGCCTTGGACATTGGAAATTTGACTCCACAAAAGTGCATTATCACAATGTTGCCTTTGTGTGTGAGCATTGTATGTGTTACGTAAAAACACTGAAACTCGCCCAATATATGAAGAGATGTCATTTTGTTCACTGCGTTTGTAAAAGATAAAATTCTTCAAGATCTTGGCTCTTCGGACGACTGCACAGGCAGTGGTGACCCACGCGGATTTTGATTGATCTTGCAAAACACTTAGGTTGTCTGTCATGGTATTCTGAATGACTGCAGTTATGAAACTGGGTGCATGCAATTACCCACCATAGTGATATGCATTTATATATTTCACTTTTTGACCTATTTCTTTAGGAATATGGTTCATGGTTAATCTGCTCATAAGTGTCACACCTATGTGATGGTCACTAGTATATCTGAGTGTTTATGCTTGAAAAATAGGTGTCATTATTGTCTATTTTTTGTGTAAAGTGGTCTCTGAAGTGTTCTATTGTGTTTTTATGTTTCTCAAGTAAGTCCCCTTTTAAAAATGTAAATAAATACCTTTAAAACAATTTTTTTTTTTTTTTTTGAGATGAAGTTTTGCTCTTGTTGCCCAGGCTGGAGTGCAATGGTGAGATCTTGGCTCATTGCAAACCTCTGCATCCCAGGTTCAAGCGATTCTCCTGCCTCAGTCTCCTGAGTAGCTGGGATTACAGGCATGCACCACCACACCCGGCTAATTTTGTATTTTAGTAGAGATGGGGTTTCTCCATGTTGGTCAGGCTGATCTCGAATTCCTGACCTCAGGTGATCCACCCACCTTGGCCTCCCAACATGCTGGGATTATAGGCATGAGCCACCATGCCAGCCTAAATAATTTTTAAATTATTTTTTCCAGAATTATATTTTCATGATTTTGATGTTCTGAGGCTTCAACCTTAAGGATGATGGCATTTGTGTCTTTTGGGGTTATGATCAGCTCCCATTAGTAGCTTCCCCACCCTCAGTGTGACAACCAAAAATATCCGTGACATTGCCAGATATCTCCTGGGAGGAAAAATAGTCCCCGTTTGAGAACCACTGTTTTAAAGTAAATAAAACTTTAAGTTTAATTCTGACAGCCCCTCTAGACAACGTGCTATCAGACAAGAAAATCATAAAGAAACAGAAGTAACTTCATGTAAGGGATGAACTCAGAGGCTGCAGCTCTGGAGCAGAGAGGGAGGCTCTGATTACCTGCAAGGCTGCTAACAGGGGCAGTTCATTAAATATTCATAAATCCCCGAGACAGGGACGGGACCCACGAAATAGGAATTAACTCCATGGTATATTTTACTTTACAGTAGAGCACAGCACTTTCAATGAATGTGCCAATATTATAAAGCCTGTTTTTTTCTTAAAGATTCATATAGGGCAATGAATACAGGATACGCATCAACATAAAATACTTCTCAGAGCAAAAAGCTGAATTCTAACATTTCATATTATTAAACATTGTTAGAAACATTTTTGGGCCCCCACCACAATAGATGTGGTATTGCAAATCTGAGGTTATAATAGATATTAAAATGAAAACAGAAATAATGACAGACAAACAATCTCCGTGACCCCTGATATCTGGGCCACGCAGACAGTGGCTGGAAAACAAATGAACATATATTGTTCCTTTCCATGTAACACCTAACAAGTATACGTGTATATACAATGTTACAAGGATATGCTTAGAGCGGGGGGTAGTGCTTGCCATGGCGGCCTGTGTGCCTAGAACCTTTGTGGTCCACAGCTGCCTCCACCACACTCTGAGCAGGTGATCGAGTTAAGATTGTATCATCTTATGCTTCTCATCTAGAAATTGAAATAATAATCATACCAACCTTATAGTTTAAGGCAGCCTTAAATATGAAAAATTTGTAAACGGTAAATTACTGCATAAAAGTTGGCAATTATTCAATGGAGACTAATTGATTATTCAATCAATGCAAAAAAAGGAACACAGATATTCTCTGATCTTTTACATAATACAATATGTGTAACTAAAATTTGTTCCTTTTTTTTTTTTTTTTTTTTACATACCTATTTCTTTTTGTCAGGGGACCTTTACTGGTAATTTCCAACCCCCAAGGCTCATGAAATAATGTTAGAAATTTCTTCCAGTTGATTTTAGTGGTGGCTTTAAGTCCAAATCTGTATTTAAAAATAACAGCAAAAACATTACTTTAAACATTTTTTCTATAACACTGCATGGATTAGGTACTTAATGTTGAATTGAAAATGGCAGCAATGCATTTATATGAAGTTTCAAATCTAATGTAAACAAAATCACTTAGTAAAATAGTACTAGGAATTGATTTTTTTAAAGCAAGGAAAAATCAAACTGATATTAGATCTACATGTCTCTATATTGTTAATGGTAGCATACACTGAAGGAAGAATCTAAGGGATTTGATTAAAATAATAATGTCCATAAAATAATTCTTTCAAATTCATCATTTCAAGAGCCTCTATGTTGGGGCGGGGAGGACAATGGCTACCATGGGGTCCACCCTCCAATCCTGAGCCTCTGTGACTACGTTCTTGCCCCAGCAAAGGAACATGGTAGATATGATGGAGGGCAGATCTGGAGATGGAGCGACTCTTCTGGTTTATCCAGGTGGGCCCACTCTAATCCCATACATTCTTAAAATTGGAGAGCTTTTCCTAGCTGCAGCCATCAGAAGACGTGAGGACAGAAGGGCAGAGGTGTGAAGCTGGTGGCTTTGAAAGACAGAGGAAGGGGCTGTGAACCAACAAATGCAGGTGGCTTTTAGAAGCTGGAAAAAGCAAGAAATGAATTTGCCCCCAGATTCCCCAGAAGGAAAAAAGCCCCACTGATTCCTTGATTCTAGCCCAGTGAGACCCATGTTGGGCTTCAACCTATCAAACATGAAGATAATATGTGTTGTTATAAGCCACTAGGCTTGTGTACTTTGTTATGGCAGCAATAGAAAGTCAGTACAGATTTAAAGTCTTAGCAAGAATAATTAATTGGAAAATTGTTCAAAAACACATTTCCAAAGTAAATATGGTCCCATGACTCAGAGTCCAATAATTTCAGAGTTACAAGATGTCTGTGGGAGCAACCTGATGTGAGCATGGGTTTCAGAAAGACCAGAGTACCTGCCCCTGCACTCCCTACTGATGTGACCTCAGACACGCCGCTCACTGTGCTGATTCTGTATTCCTCTCATCTGGAACATGAGAATAACACCACCTACTGGGAGGGTTGTGATAAGGATTAAAGCTAACAGGTCAAAAAGCCTCGGTTACAGGCTGGAAAACCAGCAAGCGTCCCATCACATACACTGACCTGTGTCACATACACCTTCTGTGATTTACACACTAAACCATACCTATCCTTCCCTAACAGGATGGCAAAAAGTAGTGTGGGCAGAGTTCCTTAGATAATCAATATGAGATCTCAAAGTGGGCATGAAACAGACTGCCCTGTTTTGATTGCTAAAAATTAATGGCTGAGAGCAAACTGGTTAGACAAACAAATTCTTTGTCTATATCTGGGGTATTAAAAAATCCAGATAACAGAGGATAAAAGAGTGAATTTTGGGAGAAAATCTTTTGGTGTACTTGAGTCCCAATCCCAGCACAAAAGAGAGAGTGAAGGATGCCTACTCCTCACCTGAAGCCTTGTCAAAAGAGCTGGTTCCACTCAGGGAGCTTGACTCCTGTCCCCTGCAATTGCAGGTGGGATGTATTGGTGTCTGACTCCCAGCTAGAAACCTAGCAGGTGAGGGATGAGCTGGCTAGCCATTGGGAACAAAAAGTTTTGGCGGGTGGGGGCGGGTGGTTGGTTGGCTTGCTCTGTCAGAGTCATCAGGAAAGTAACTGCTGAGAGTTTCATGGGCATCAGACGTGGGCCACGTGAGGGAGAGTGGGCCACGTGAGGGAGAGCACGTGCATGCACAAACACACAGCGGCATCTTCGTCCTTGCCCAAGAAAGCCACCTGGAGAAATGAACACGCCTTAATAGAGAAGGCTTGCTTTCTCTCTTCCCAGATTCCCAGAGGCTGAGAAGGAAATAGGCAATCAGCGGGGCTAGAGATGCATCTGCCTTCATCAAATGTGAACTCCAAAACCCATCAACCAGCGCTCATGATGGCAAACACCTTGAACACTTGATCAGCCCCGAGAACACAGCTTCAAGCTCACAGCAGTGCCAGTCAAATGAGAACTTTCAGCCTCCCCTTTTGCTCCTCTCCTTCCTCTGTGCATTTCAATTCCTAGAGCATGCAGAAACTTAGTTTACAAAATGAGAAAGAAGAGAAGTGCAAAGTGGGGAAAGGGTGAAGCTGCCATCATGCCGCCTTTACTCGTGCCTGTAACAGGCCCTAACAGGGAGGAAATGCAATTCATGTTTGAATCAAGCTTACATTTTTGACGGCTGTGTGAGATTGGCAGTTGCATGACTAAACTGAGGCTCTTTCTATGATCCAGGACAAACCTGGAAGCAAGATCTGCTCATGTTTTTATCTAGGGGCAAAATAACTAATCCAATTGAGTAAATTTAAAGGGGCAGTGGGAAACAAAATTAAGTAGCTGTAAGATGACAGTCCATGAGTCTGCCTAGTTCAACTTAGGTTACAGATCCACTCAGCCAGATATCCATCCATTCATACATCCACATATATACCAAGCTTCACTTAAATTATTGCAATAATCTCCTAATGGGTCTTCTTGTGCCTACTCTTGACTTGCTCCAATATATTTCCATACTTCTACCAGCCTGACGTTTTAAAAATGCAAATCCAGCTGGGCGTGGTGGCTCTTGCCTGTAATCCCAGCACTTTGGGAGGCTGAGGCGAGAGGATCACGAGGTCAGGAGATCGAGACCATCCTGGCTGTCATGGTGAAACCCTGTCTCTACTAAAAATACAAAAAATTAGCCGGGCGTGGTAGGGGGCACCTGTGGTCCCAGAAACTTGGGAAGCTGAGGCAGGAGAATGGCGTGAACCCAGAAGGTAGAGTTTGCAGTGAGCTGAGATCCCGCCACTGCACTCCAGCCTGGGTGACAGAGCGAGACTCCATCTCAAAAAAATAATAATAATAAAATAAAAATAAATAATAAAAATGCAAATTCGGGCCGGGCGTGGTGGTTCACGCCTGTAATCCCAGCACTTTAGGAGGCCGAGGCGGGTGGATCATGAGGTCAGGAGATCAAGATCATTCTGGCTAACATGGTGAAACCCTGTCTCTACTAAAAATACAAAAAAAAATTAGCTGAACGTGGTGGCGGGCGCCTGTAGTCCCAGCTACTTGGGAGGCTGAGGCAGGAGAATGGCATGAACCCGGGAGGCAGAGCTTGCAGTGAGCCGAGATTGCGCCACTGCACTCCAGCCTGGGCAACAGAGGGAGACTCCGTCTAAAAAAAAAAAACAAAATGCAAATCCGACCAGATTACTGTCTTGCTTAAAATCTTTCCATGACTTCCCACTGCTCTTAGGATAAAAATGGCACTACTGAAATATACAAGCCTGCATGGTGTGGCCCTGCTCACCTCCTTAGCCTCGCCCCATGGCATGCTCCCCGGGCTCTCTTAGCACCAGCCACATTGGTCTGTCTGCTCTTCCAAAGAGCTGTATTCTTCCCTGTCCTCGGTCCCTTCTGCTTGTTGCTTCCTTTGCCAACTGACATGTCGCCCATCATTACCTACTTCCCATACTTTCCTAGTTAATTCTACTCCTCTTTCAGGTCTCAATGCAGTCACTGTTTCCTCAAGGAAGCCTTCCCTGATTTCCACAGCCAGTGCTGTTTTCCCTATTAGACTCTCATTACACTATGTATCCTTCCATTATTGCACTTATTATTTAAATATTATTATTATTACAGCATCTAATACTTCTATAGCACTTTTGCTATGATTATGATTATGGCAGCTAATACTTGATAAATGGCTCTTTCTACTTCTGCTGCTAGCACTGGGGACATGATCATGAGAAAGAGAGATGGAGACTGATTAATTGATTTTGTTAGGCACACATGGCCACATGTAAACAAGTAGAACATGACTTTGGCTTCATGTACTACTATTCACATAAAAATTTCTTTTTTCATTTTTCTGACTCAAATTTGAGTCTTTCTTCACCAAAATTTGCCAATTACTTTGATATAGTTTGTCAATATTATATATGTTCATCTTAAATTTCAACAAATTGAAAATTAACTTTTTATAATGGAAACTGCAGCTGCTATGAAAAATAAAATCAGCCTCTATATATTATGTTTAGGAAATCACCTTGCTCTTTGGGGAAAATATCAAAGGAGATCTTCACTTACTATTACATACTAAAATAAATGTAAAAGAGATTAAAAAGTTAAATGTAAAAACTATAACTACAAAAAAAGTAGAAAAAAATCTAGGCATGTGCTTATCTGATACTTTAATAAGAATGAATTTTTAAGCAAAACTTAAAAAATCTCAAACTTACCTATTTAATTACATCAAAATATAAGATTTTTGTATACCATAAACACAAAACAAAATTTAAAAGCTGAACAACAGATTAACAAAATTATAAATATATACAATAAATTGTTAAAATTCTTAAAGCATAAAGTGCTTATACAAATTAATAAGAAAATACTAAAACTTGAATTCTTCCAATAATGGTACAATAAGATCCTACTGGCCCAACCTCCTCCAGATAATCACAATAAAATCTGGACATAATTATCAAAAGCAGCTATTTGAAAGTACTGTGATCAGAGCAGGCAAAGTCTTGTGGGGAATCCATGCTAAGAGGAGAACTGTGGGGGTGTGGTATTTTCAATGCTTTTAGCCTCAGATGAGGCACTGCAGTATGACGAGTGACCGGAACATCAGTTAAAAAAATAAATACATAAGTAGCCTTTATGGCCTGGAAAACGAGAAGACTAATCCTAGCCACAAGAGAGAAAGAATAAATCCTGGAAGAGAAACAGCCAGAGAGGGATCCTCAAATTCTATCTAACTCACCATAATTCTTACTGGCTGCTGAACCTCACCTGCTCAGAATATATACTCAAAATAGCTTAGCTAAACACAAAAGATCTGAACTGAGATCAGAGCTGCCACCCAAGAAACAGAGTATGCAGTTTGAGTCCAACAAGATAATTGACTACTAAAATAACAGAAGGAACATTCATTAGAAAA